CACACACACATACATACATACATACATGCACACACACACACACACAAAAAGAACCATCCCAATGTTTACAAAGATAAATTAGTAACATTAAACATTATTTCACATCTAATTCTCATAAATATTAAAAACTATAAATATGATTTTAATCCAGATTTAGTTTTGCTTTTTTCCCCTCTTTAAATCATTTATCCTGAGCTCATTAATTTTATTTAATATTAGGATTAAAAGCAGTGTTACACACCCCACAACAAAGCAGATCATTTCACAAAAAGGTGCATGCACACAGATCAATCTGGACTTCAGGGAAACTCACCTGGGGAGCCCCTGGAGTGTCCAGGACCAGATCGGGCAGATTTCTGAGCAGTTTGTCAAAAGAGGACTCCATGTCACTGTGAGACAGAACAGTCCTGCACAGGTCAACCAGCAGCCTGGATGTGAGCTCCCGGTGGCTGGCCTTGGCCTCCAGGGCCAGAGACACGGCCAATGAGGGCACCTCGCTATGCATGGGCCCCAAGTTCAGCTCTGCAAGCAGTTCCTGGGTTTGATTTAAAAAAAAAAAAAAAAAGCGTGGGAGACAAAACGTGTTTTTAGTTACATGGAAAATTCTGAATTGATTTCCAAATGACAAAAAATAGTTTTCTCAGCATTATTCTGCCATTTTAAAAAGAGTCAGTCGAGTTTGCTTTGCTGTTTGTCCCAATAAAGTTACTGTAGCTTCATGTAGGTGAAACGTAATAAAGCCGTGTGTTTTCACAGCTTTTTCCATTTGTAAATGACCATAAATTATTTAAAATGAAATTTGCATTGTGTGGATTGTTTATAGATGTTTGCCTGTTTTTGATGTAAACTGTGTGGGTTGTTCATAAATGTTTTTGTTTTAATTTAATAATACAGTATTTGTATTTTCAATTAGTTTATTTTTGTTTGTTTGTTTGTACCTCATGGGATGCCATAGGCCTTTGAAAAGCTGGCAGTAATTAGTTCGAACAATGAATGGCTGGAAAGCAACTGACAGCAGGACTTAAACTGTTTGCTGTGTTAAAGAAACAAAGATCTTATGCTTTGCATTCCCCTGGTGAAAGCAGCGAGGTACGTTTTGTTTATTTCACTTGTATTACGAGCCCATGTTCTTATTTTAATGTTTGTATACGTTTGTTTTAGTTTTCACGGTGATAGTGATAGTGATTGTGTTGATCCTGGTGATTTGGTGATCATGGAGCACCAGCTGAAAATAAAATTTTTTTTTAAAAACTCATCGAGGCTGTGCTGAACTTTGTCAAGGGGGCTGCTACATATTTTCTCCCTAAATATATGTTTGTAAGTAACAGTTCAAGGTTTCATAACAGATGTCTTTAATATTGCCTGAAATGTTTGATTTGTGTATAACTTTCCATTCATAAACAAGATGCTAATTGCATTAGCTTGAAGGCAATTTCAATATTAAGTTAGCATCTTGTGCTAATTGTTAGTCAGTAGCCTGTAATCGTAGTTTATTTTTTAAACATGATACAGTGCATGTTTCATTAGGCACAGCAATATATAGTAAATCAGTGATTATGTAAAATAAACCATAGTTATTTAAGGTTTAAAATAGTCAAAATGCATTGGCTTTATCACAGTGTTCCGATGGTGTGTGGTGTAATCCAATTTAATTGGAAGGTGCCTAAAGATTCCCACTTACACACGGCTTTCCATAAAATTGATGGCTGCAAAACTAAATCTATGTCCACAGAGCTTATTTACTTCATAAAGTTACATTCTGTAAAACTTACAGCTACTTCGTTTGTGTCTCCATGTTCAAAGTACTCTTTGACTATGGGTGCGACCGTCTTCTCAAAGTCCCTCTCGTCCAGCGGAGGCACCACAGTCTCATACACACAGTTTTCCTGTCAAAACACAATCACGTTCCAAAATCAGAACACAACGTATTTCTTACTGGTTTGTGTGCCGTCTTGATATGAAGCCTACGGCATCATGTTAATCCAAACCTGCAGATAAACATCAGAGACGTTACCTGAGCTTCGTCGTAGTTAGGGTCTTTCTCATCTACTTCAACTGGTTCGTAAACTTCACCAGTCTTGCCCCACACACCTTTTCCTCCTGCCCCACCTGCAGACAACAAGCAGGAATAACATTACACAGGCTGTGTGAGATTAGCTCATGCTGATGAAGCTTGCAATAATATTTTAAAAGGATAATGAGAAGTTCAGGGTTTGATGTCTTCAACGACTTAGCAACCTGAACATGAACTGGTTTTGAGAAGAAACTAAGCTTCTATAAAATGACCTCTCTAAAATGCAACAAAAAGTTACAAAGGAGTTTGTCCAAAATAATAAATGTATCCAAATGTAACTAAAATGTATTTTTAAATTATTTATTTACTTAAAAAAAATCAAACTTAAGAAGTCTAGGGTCAAACAAAAAGTGTGCTTGAAAGACTACCAGTATATAATCCCAGATAAATTATCCTAATTTGCTCATTAGGGGTTTTACTTTATCCAGGTTGGGGAAATTATCTGTAATAATTTCCACTTTATCTCTAATGTTACCATTAGTAGCTCTAAATATTTAGAATCTGTGTGGTATTTTCCACAAATCATGTAATGAATGTGCTGATGTGACATTTTTGGTGCTAAACTATGTGTCAAACCCAAGGCTCATGGGCCAGATACGGCCTTTGTTATCATTTTTTAAAATCAGTTTAATGGATTGGGATTATATGCATTACTAAAAAACTAATAATAGAAAAAGTTAATTATTTAAGAAAGGCATGAAAGACAAGATAAAGTGCCTTCTCAACTTTGATCTTTTTTAATAAGTTATATTTGCTCTAAACTCTATATCAGAAAATATATTCTGGATCTTGATATGATAATACATTTTAGGACTGCACAATATATCAAAACTTTAGCATTATCATGCAATAGACATTTTGCTAAAAACTACATAAACTACAATAAATGGTTGGCTCAAATGTCTGCATTTATGCATTTTGTCAATCACACAAAAGCCTGAAATATTTGACCAATCAAATTGAGTCCTTCAAATATTTGGCCAATTAGATGGCTCTCTGATGCCTGTCCCTACCTACCTACATGAACTCAAATAGATAGCAAACAACTGAGCAAGTATTTAGACATTAAGCTATGATCCACTTTTAGCAATACTTAAGTATTTGTTTGTTTATCACAAGTAATATCGTCATTGCAATATTATGTTATCAAACATTGCATGTTTTCCTAATATTGTGCTAATACCTTTGAAAACTAAGTTTAATTTATATCTGTTTTCACAAAATATTAACTCAAACCAAGGACCAAGCTTTTAATTTTGAGCCTCTTAAATAAAAGAGTTTGTTTAAACAATCGCTCTGTTCACTCAGGCCACCTAACCTCTCAGATGAAACACATTTTTTCTTGTGCCTTTAAAGAAAACGATTCTGCTCTAAATCAATAATGGCACATTTTGCTTTTAGAGACAACTACAAGTCAGTTTGGAGAGTGACTACAGAGACTACAACTTAGTGCTTTTCCTAAATGCAATGTTGCAACACAGAGAACTGCATCTAACATACAGCTTAGTCTACATCTTTTGTGTAGGCTCGTACAAAAAACAGCTGTGTGGTATGAGGTCACCTCCGTCAGATTGTAGAAATCCTGCTGCTAAAGCAGCTTGAATGCATACTTTAAATCTGCATTAACCTCATTAGTTAGCTCATCCTACATTACAAATTTGCCCTGTACAAACAGTTAGTCTGTACCCATGTTTGCCTACACATAAAATGCAACAAACTCACCACAACAACCCCCTCAAAAACTACAATGTCTAGTTTTGATGCAGGAGAGCTTGAATTACAGGGGACCACTAATGTGGCAGCACTGTTGTGTAATCAAAAAAGAATGGGAGTCTGTGCCAAGAAAAAGCTGGACATGCCTTTAATCTACTGCCCATGGGAAGAGCAAAGAGGCTGAACACCACTGCAGCCGGAAGAGACATCTAAATACTGTCCATGAGCTAATTCAAGAGACAGACGAACCATTATAAAACAGTGACACAAGCTAAAATCTGACCTGCTTACACATCATTACCTGGGGAAAATATATAAGTAAGCAACCGCTAGGACAGAAGAAAACTACCTTTACATAGACTAAAAATGGACAATAATGTAGTCGAAGGTCAATATCCAACAATAATACGATTTGATTCAACTGATGAAATTGTCACCAGAATAATAAACAAATACACATATGTACTATTAATTTCCGTCAGACAATTTTAATTATCTTGATTTAATAAAATCCTTAAAATGACAATAAAATGAATACCTTTTGAAACGACAACAAGTGTTTTCGAGCAAATGTAAATATACTTGGCACAAAAACGTAGGAAATTTGTGTTTGGTGGAATATTTATTTGTTGTAACAATGCTTCTTGGCAACAAATTTATACTGGGCAACTAGGGGGTACCAGAAGCTCAAAACAAGTGTCAATAGCAAAATAAGCTGTTTTGCAATGGCAAAGAAGATTTGGCCATTTTTTTTCATGTGCACAACCAACAAACTCAGCTGTACTGCTTATCCCACACATGCAGTGGTGGGCACTAGACCCCTAAAGCATAATAGCGCTAACTGCAGATCTAAATTTCTTGTTGCCATAAATTAAGCAGGTAAAAGTTTAAATTCTTTATTATTTTGATGTGTAGACGGTAGCGTTGGGCATAATCGTATCGTGTGTGATTAATCGTCAGAAAAACATTAATCGATTATTTTTGGGCACTTGATGATTAATATGATTAATGCCACCAGTCCGCTCAATGCTCCTCTCTGCGTTCAATATGACCAACATTAAAACAACAAAAAAGTTCTGTAATTTATTTATCGTAACTCCAGTTTTTCTTGGTCTATCAACACCATTAAAAATTTGATGTGTAGCCTGAAGTCTGTAATTTTGACAAAATTTGGAACAGATCTTTGCAAAGAGCAAATCTTTCCCACTAAATTGGTCATGTGACCAGGACATGAGGGTGTCCAGGAACTCCAGCGCATTAATCGCCAAATTAATCGTTATTGGCTAAATACCACAATTAATCGTGATTAATTATTTTGCCAATATTGCCCAACCCTAGTAGACGGTTTCCTGTCTTCCGTGTTTCGCTTTCCGTCACCAATCCATCCTGTACCCAGAATGCATTGCTTCAGTTCTCTAATAAAACAGTTTAAAATTACCAGTATATTCTGCATGCTTTCTTACCAAGATGACCAAGAAGCTGCAGAAATAGCAATCCTCAAAAACTGTTTATTTATCATGAGTCATAAGTCTGTTTCAACAAATCACCTCCCCAAACTGCGGCGATATGTGCAACGCTGTAAAAGTAAAGTAACGTGCCTCTAGTCTGCAGTATTATGCAAAAGTGGCACATGTTATCACTGGAATATACTCTGGTGAACTCTGAATCAATTTTGCGCTTTAAATTAGCTTCCAGTAAGTTTTATTAAATGCAAGTGATTAAAATCCTGCAGACCTAAATAATTTAGCAAGCACTGCAGAACTTGTGCGACTAGTGGCTTTCCAATGATATTAGATTTATTGCCAAAAAGCAATGTTACAAGTTATCTCCCAAACAATTTACTTTTTTTGTGCCAAGTTGATATAAATTCTTCACATTAGTATTGAGGAGAATAATCCTTGTATAGTGCACAAAATGGTGTTTAGATTTTGCTTATCCTGTAATGGAAATTTCCAGAAAAGCTTTGCTGAACAGATGGTAAGGCAAGAAAGAAGCACGTTAAAAAAGGTGTGAGCTGCTCACGATCAACCAGCCATTTGCTTACAAACGAACAGGTTTACAGCTCATCAGTGAAGAGCCAACAACTGGTAACAACAGTGGGAAACAGTGACTCTTTGAAGCACTAAGATGTGCAACATCCAGACTTCTTCAGTCATCTAAGCTGTGGTAATGATGATGATGTTGCCCTTGGAAAAACTCAACCTGAACAATCCTTTTGAAAGCGTACCAAAAACAAAACAAAACAAAAAAGGAACAGATAGATCTTACCTTTCTTTGGCAAACCTCTGCCCTTTCCCATCCGTGACTTTCGGTCCATCAACTTGCTCTTGGGACTCGTAGGTACAGCAGAGGTTCCCCTGCTCACATCCCCATTGTCACTAAGGGAGTCCCCCCTGCCCGAGTCCCTGGAGGAGTTCTTTCTCAGCCTCCGCTTCGCCTTCGCCTTGAGACGCGCCTCCTGGATGGTGTTGCTGGATGAGGACAACCAGTTACCGTTGATCTCGTTGTTGGTATTTCTACTGTTGATAACCGATCCTCCATTGTCCTCCTCTCCAGAAAGAATGAAGTCACTGAGATCTGCAGCTCCTGTTGGATTGAAATTATGATGTCAGCAAGCTGATGGATGCAGCAAAATAAAGAAGGAGTGTGTATAATTTAGGTGCCGAGGGTTTACATCATAACAAGGCAATCTACGTGTAAAGATTAAAAGAATGCTTCAATAGAAGTTCAACCACAAAATGTAAGAGTTGTAAAAAACAACACAGAGATGTGCAAGGAAACTAGCAAATGTACCACTTCCACATGAGAAAGCCCCACTGCCCTACATCAGATACAGCTGTGTGTGTGTGTGTGTGTGTGTGTGTGTGTGTGTGTGTGTGTGTGTGTGTGTGTGTGTGTGTGTGTGTGTGTGTGTGTGTGTGTGTGTGTGTGTGTGTGTGTGTGTGTGTGTGTGTGTGTGTGCTCACCAACAGGGTTTGCATTCAGCCAAGCCTCGCAGTCAGCTGCCATGTTTTACAATAGAAATGGTGTTCTATGCAGAAAAGGGCCGTCCAACAACACAAATGACTCGGTACCTTCAAAGATAAGAAAATCAAACGAAAACTGAAAACGACTCGAGTGTGTATGAGGCGATATGTCCAGACGTGTTGGGACTTATGTGTTTCTCCCTCCCCCTTCCTTTCATTCAAAGTCACTGCTGTTGATCAACAAAGGCTGTGCGGTTTTAATAAAACATTTCTGTATCTAGCTGTACATACAGAAGATAACCGCAACCATATAACAACATATAATTATAAGCAGTTGTTGACCTATCTTGTCTTCGAAGCTATTTTACTAAAGGTTGCAAAAAAAGATAGCAGATGTGCGCTGCATTTAACTATTAAACACGAGTTACTAACTTAAATTCACAACAACGCAATACTACGATACACATATTTAAAAAAATATATACCTTATTAGCTATTTTAGCTCACAGCACAAACCCCAGCCGTCTCTCACCAAGCTACTTACAACGCTGTTCTGTCGTTGTTTTTGTTCCACTTACCCAGCAACGCAGTCACGTGGTCCAGTGTTTTTATTTTCTGATTGGCTGAGAGGAGGGGTCTGTTCACCCGTCAGCCAATGAAAATGCAACACGGGAATTTCTTCTCGCAAATTCCATGAGGTACGGCTGTTTATGAAGTGCTTCCCTCTATCGGTTTTACCGTGGAACTGCACACTTAGATTTAAATGTCACTTTGCAAAGTTAAAAAAAAATGCTGATATTGAAACTGGTAATTAAAATTGTGAAAATATAATTGATGCTAATTAATGATAATTAAAAACACATTTTTTTGTGGAAAAAAAATATTCCAACACGGCATGAAAGCATCTGTGCTACATCATGTGACATGGTTTAATATTGCATCATCTCCAAAAACTGCTGCATTTCTCCCCTAAACAATCAAATAATAAATATTTTAAACAGAAAATAAAGGCCTAAAAGTAGATCAGCACGACAAATATAAATACATCTGAACACGAACATCCAAGACGCAAAATCCTTCAAATAAAATAAAGTAATTTTAGCCATAAACATTATTATGAAATTATAAAACACACCAGAGTCTCAGACATAGTTTGTGCATATTGTGTAAATTATAGCACACCTAAATATTTACTTGAAAAAAGCACCTCTAAAATACAAATGAAAAAGTGCAACTTTCCTGTCTCTGACACAAAATAAAAAGAGAACTTTTATGACGAACCATTCAGCAAATGATTAATTAATAAAAAGTTATTTTTGTGTAATTTAGGTTTATAAAAAGAGCTCAAGTATTTACTCTCATAATATATTATGGGTGAATGAAAATGCTATTGTAGAATTATTTAAAATTAAGGATAAACAACAATGAACATTACTAAACAAATAACTTTCCAATCAACACTAGCAATGCATTTTGAAACTGTTATTTGTTTAAAATATCAGTCACCAACCAAAATCTGCTGCTTCACAATTCATCAACAACAAAGTAAATGCTGTGGTACAATAATATGTACTAAAATCACATACTTAAACTATGTTCACCTGCATTATACGTACTGTACCAATCACCAGAAATACAGTTTGACAATCATATAGTTTCATAAAACACATAGGTACAGAAAATTTAGAATTTGGTAGAAGCAGTTTCCTGTATTCTGACGTATTTTAACAGACTGTTAAATATACCTATACCCACTTAAGTAAATATTTGATTTTAAAATCTATTTTAGAGACAGATTTTTCATTTAATTTGTTGCATCATCCTGGTTTTAAACTCACTGCTATGGCTGAGATAATGAAATTAATTTGACAGTTTATCACAAACAATGACTTTAGAGAATTGCTTTACTTTGATAATGTTTTTTCTTGATTTAGTTTAATTTGTAACACAATGCGTCATTGTGCCAAGCAACTGCATGTTTAAAAGAGTATTAACTTTCCACAATGAACAGATGGATATTGATAACAACCATGAATTTAGGGGGCATTTATTTTTCTGACAGGTCTACTCATAAACTGACATGACATCATGCAGCCTTATATGACATTGTGTCATCAGTGGTCATATAAAATATAACTTTCATCACTTTTATCAATCTGTATGTAAATACCAAGAAAAACTGATTCAAGGATGTTTGGAACTTATTTGAAAGCTTTTGATTAATAAATTGGCACATTTATTTATTGACTTTTATTTAACCAGGTGAATCCTAATATTAAAACTAATTTCTACCACTAGGAAACTTAAAGTTGTTGATCATGCTGTAGATCAGTGGTTCCCAAACTTTTTATCTTCTGACCCGCAAAATATCCATGGCAAAAACTTGTGACCCCAAATATTACTGGTCTGAGTACATGAACTTTGTTAATATCCATAAAAACACAGGCTTTTTGACAATCTAAACAGCTTATACACAAATATAAATACTTATTTATACTTTTTTGTGTTTTTGTAATAGTTATAGGGGAAATATTACATCAGCAATTATTTCATTACCCTTTAAATTGATTTCTGGAGATTATCCAAGGTGCTTCATGACCCATAATTGGGTCTCAAGCCCAACTTTGGGAACCAAAGTGCAGTGGCTCCCAAACTTTTCAGCTTTTGACCCACAAAATAACAGTAGCAGAGACCTGAGCCCCCAACTATTTTTGTATGATACACATTTGTATCATGTCAACAAAACATGGACATAGTAACAATATTTTTAAACTACATTTATCCATTTTAAATACACTAATCTCACTCCTTTGTAACAACTAAGGCAAAAATGTAATTAATTCAGAAAATCTTTTCAGGACCCCACCTTGATGTTTCGGGACCCCAATTTGGGTCCCGACCCCAACTTTGGGAAACACTGCTGTAGATTGTGCTTTTAGATCCGTAATGTCTTTCATGAAGTTCACACAGCTGACTAGAATGTACTAAAAAATAATATTAATTTGAGTAAACATTTTACATTTCATTCACACCTGCCCAGCACCTTCACTCACCTGACAGAACTCTACCTGCTGAATCTGCCTCTGACTCTCGGCTCCTACATCAACAGACGATGGATTTTTTTGGAAATGTTATTGTACATCTTAGACATTCACTCGTAACATTTCCATGAAATTCACATATAGGAACTTATGGTGGGCACTCATGGCTATAGGTGGCCGGATGGCACCACTCTTGCCTCCTGTGCCTGTGCCCACCCCCCAAGGTTTGCATATAGACACTTAGGGTTTTGGGTTAGAGTAGTGGTGGAGGGGAAACTGGCACCACGCCGGCCTCTGCCTCTTCTTCTTTACTTTTTTTAAATTGCTTATTAAAATGTATAATGCTTATAAAATTAAAATATCTTGTATTTTTAACTGCAACTTATTCTTTATAAGTCTACATTCTAACTTCCTTCTCTCCTCAGAGTACTTAGGACATTTTAACAAAACATGTTTTACTGTCTCTTCTTGAAAACAAAACTCGCAATTACCTGTTGGATGTTTTCCCATTTTAAATAGTGTACTGTTTAAACCTGTACGACCAAAACGTAACCTGGATATAATGTCTTCTTCTTTTCTACTTCTTCCTGTTCCCCTCATTTCACCAACTTTCCTTTGGATACTACAAAGCCATCTACCAGTTTTTTCTTCTTCCCACTGCTTCTGCCATCTTTCCTTAACCTTTTGTTTTATAACAAATTTAATTTCCTCTTTACTAAATGGAATCAGTAGCTCAAAGCAACTGTTTTTTGAGGCTTGTTTTGCATATTTATCTGCCAACTCATTTCCTTTTCTTCCTACATGAGATGTCACCCATGTAAAAATGACTATTAATCCCATGGCCTGAATTCTATAAAGTAYTAACTGAATCTCCAATAGAAGGTCTGGTCTACTATTAGACTGATTATTTTTAATTGAGTTTAATGATGAACTTGAATCAGAACAAATTACACTTCTTAAAGGACACACCTCTTCAATCCAACCTAATGCCAAAATAATTCCCATCATCTCCCCTGTAAACACTGAGACACCATCAGAAATCCTCTTACTTTTTTTAATACCAAATTCTGGGACGATAAACGACACCCCATTGTTGCAACTTAAACTCTTTGAAGCATCTGTATAAACTAGAACTTAACCATAGTGTTTATTTTCTATATATGATTGCACTAAGTATGATTCTGAAAAATGTCCTTTTTTTCTCTTCTCCAACAATAAGTCTACAACGATTTCATGAAACAGTGATGGATGGACCAGTGATAGAGGAGCTGTTTGACTCATATTTATAGATGATAAATCAAAATCTCTCACATCGCTTTCTATCTCCCACCCCAAAAGATTTAAAAGTATTTTTCTAGAAACTTGTTGTTTCAGCTATAGGTTTATAATTGACGCAGGGGGCGCACGCACCAATAGTGACACAATTGCGCTGTTAAAAGCCCGGTCCCGTCAGGGAAAATACTGCTGGTGGGTAAGAGTTAAGCTGTAGAGCTGACCAATAAATGGATGAAAGTCAATGCAAAGTCCCCGTAAGAATAGAAGAACCGCCGCTCTGTTCTGTGTCACAGAGAAAAATGAAGTGTGTGTGTGTGTGGGGGTGGGGGGGGGGCTGTCTTTGCCTACTGCTTCTGCTTTGTGGGGGCGTCAGCTAACTAATCATCAGCTCTGATCTGAGATTTATCACAAAAAGTGGGAGGGACTAATCAAAGTCAAAATAAATGGGGGGGGGGGGGCATGGCCCCCATCATCCCCAGTGCTAACGACTCCCATGGGTTAGATTAGATTCATCATAGTATCTCAGTAAATTCAGTTCTGACTAAAGAATTTGTTGTTTTGCTGACATTTGACTCTATAAAGAGTTTTAGCAACAAAGCCATTACAAGGATTTTACTGGGTAAATGTTGTTTGTTGCTTTAACACTGGAGGGAGCTCCTTTACAGCAGACTTTATCACATTGGGTATCTAGCTCTACTTCATGCAGACATCCGCTGATCTTAAAATGTTTTTTTTTTTTTTTTTACTGGAGCAAATCACAAAAACTTACCAAAACCTGAATTTAATGTAATGACCAATAGCAGCTTTGAGAGATGAGCAAAGTTTATTTCAGCATTTTTGCATCAGTATAAGAAACACATTTCCATGAAAACAACAATATTACTGATTTCATAGGATCAGTATTCACAGTAAAACTAAACTTTGATGTAACAGATTCCCTGAAACTCTTCATGTTTAACTGATAAATATGTGGTCCAGTTTAAGGCCTCTGATATTACATGAAACAACACAAGGCTGTGATCATCTTATTGATCAAATTTAACAAAAACATGAAGAAAAAATACCTCTGTTCCATAAATGCACTATAGAGTTTTGATTTGACAAAGAAAAGTCTGATTTGCAGTCAGTGAGAGGCTAAAACCACCAGAAGATGACAAGCCATTATAAATATTGTAAAAATTTAATTTTTAACCTGATATTTTTTGCCTATACGACAAAACCTGAGGATGTGTTTGGGATTGTCTTTCTTTTAAATTGGAAAAAAAAACCACTGCTTTGAAAGTTCAGACTGCAACAAAAAGAGCTCAAACACAAACTTAAGAAACTTAACAAAACCTGCATAGCATTTTAAAAAAAGCAACAAAAAGAGCAACATGGCAAAAATACTGATTGTTGCTGTCAGTTCTTTCAGAATTTGTTTACATTTTATGAATGGTATTTTGTACTCCTGACAAATAAATAACTAAATAAATAAAAATTAAAAACGCTATTACTCTCATTTTTTATAACAACATATTCAAGTATTTCTTTTATCTGTAAATGTTTGGATGATGTAGAAAACCAAACACGATTATTTAAACATAACATCATGACTGATTAAAAGTTTTATTCCTTATTTTTCATTTTCCAGTGACTGAGTTTTGACGTCTTCATAATGTGTACTGAAAAAAAAAATTCAATTCTCTTGAACTTTTCCACATTTTGTCAAATTACAACCATAGACTTCAAATTTTACAGGGATTTTCTGAGCTAGACCAACATACAGCGGGTAAAATAAGTATTGAACACGTCACCATTTTTCTCAGTAAATATATTACTAGAGGCGCTAATGACATGAAAT